GCAACAACAACAGCAACCACAAGTGCCACCACAACAACAACAACAACCAGGTCAACAACAACAACAGCCACCACCGCAAAGCCAACCAACCGGCTCCGGACTGCTGGGCGGTCTTAAGGGTATCGCTGCGGCGGCGCCCGGCGGTGATGTGCTGTCGAAAGGTAAGGATCTATTTGGCAAATTCGGATTCGGTTTTGGCAAATAACCCCAGTCATATTATAGGTCGTTTTATATATATATATATATATACAAATACACAAAAATACAAGCATACACATTTCACTTACACACACTTACGAACATATATAAATATATATTATACACGATTAACAACAACAGAGATAATGATAATAATAAAATTATTTACTATTAATTAAATTTATGAAATAAGAAATTTAAACAAATTAATAATTTATAAAATTCTACAAAGAAAAACTACAACAAATTTAAATTGAGATCAAATGCATTATAATAGGAAAAAGAAAATTCCAAAATGATAAGAATAATAATATTTTCTATTATAATTCACAAAAATTAGTTAAAAAAAAAAAGAAAAAAAAAAGAAAGCTAAAATTATTAAAATTTTGAAAAAGAGTTCTCTTATAAAATTACTTTTCCCTAAACGGCAAAAAAGCTCTGGTGACATCGTACAATATTTTTCCTCTCTAAGTATTTATTAAACTTATTTATAGGGGTATATAGCATATTCGCGGAGTATACGTAATATTTATTAAAACATATTTTATGCCGCGTAGCTTCCGTTAATAGCGACCACTAACTAACTATTAGCCTAAAGGTTTCAGTTTGTGTCGATAATGAAATGAAAAGACTTTTATAACCAGTAACGGTTGCGACTGTACTAACAACACTAAAAAAATTATGCTATATAATATGCCATCCATAAGGTGTATAATATATATTCTTTTGAAGCGATTCGACTGTATCCGCCTGTCTGTCCGGCTAATGATATCTATTTCATTTGTTCTTGGTGCGCTAGCAATCGCAGAAATTCAGATGGGAAACTGAAACTTTTTTGAGTATACTCTGCTAGCTAATGGCTCAAGCGTTAAGATCCGCCCGGAACTGCGCTCACAAGTAGGCAAAACTCTATCACTTACAATCTATTGCGCCGATGTTTTCCGTTAGTGAAGAAGATAAATGCGATCTGCTTAAAATCATGCTAACAAAATGCTGTAGACAAATAAAAAAAATAAAAAAATATTTTATAATTAGCCCTAAAGCGAGCAAAACTTTCCTACTGGTTTTGTAACCATTTCTTCTACATTTTAGTCTAGCATCTACCAAATGCTGCAACATTTGACTAGTGATCGCCTTACCCTCAGTTGCTTGTCGCAATTTCAAAAATATTAGGAAAAAAATTTTTGAAGGAACGAGGGGCTTACCTAACATCTTAGAAAAAATTAGGAAAAATATTTTTATTGCGTCAAAATTCGTGCAGATTGCTTGGTTGTTTTTATTTAAATTTCAAAACATTCTCCAAATAAAGCCTTAAAGTATCCATCAATTGGTAATATATTGAAAGATTTTTCAACTTGGTTTTTAGAACTTAACTGGGCGGGCGCAAATTTTATACTTTACCCAGTAGGACACTGACGGACACATAGACAGACGGATGAACAGATGCAGATTGATGGGGAATTAGACGAACGGACGATCGGATGAACAGGTGGATTATAAACGAATGAGCAAACAGGCAAATGTATAGACGAAGGGACGCACTAACTGTGGAATATGATGGTGATTGGAAAAAGCAAATTAACAGATGGATAAAACCTATGTTAAGCATATGAAGAAATGAGAAGATGGAAGCTGGAAGGTTGCACTAGCGTAGAAACAGATAAGCAGATAGCTAAGGAAATGGACGAACAGCAACATAAACGGGCATTACACGAACGGACAGGATAACGAATACACTGATTGATGGACAAATGAACAAACAGATGAAAGCATATCTAAACAACGCTGGCTTGAAGAACGGATAGCGTTGGAGAGAGATGAGAAATAGACGAGTAACCTATAGGTAAAGGAATAGAAAAGTATAAAGAGCCGAAAGATTCTAATTCGAATGAGACTCTTTTACGGGCAATGTGTGTTTTAGGATAAGGAACCAGTGTTTTCTTCGCTTTCCAAAGAAATACCGAAATATTTACACACACGTTCTATTCGGTGCTTTATAAAAGAAAAGAAAAATTTAATAATTGAATAAATTTGATATAAACTTCTGTCCTTGAACTGTGAAATATTCGAAGCGACTCAGCTTTTGTCATAACTTTTAAATCAAAATGCTTAAATTAAAATGATAGTTAGTTTAGTTACAGACAATTGCTCTTCTAACCAGAGCCACTTTAGTTTTTTTTTTTTTTTTACTTGAGGACGCTTTTCAGCAAATGCTAAAAGCATATTTTATATGATCTGTTTTTTATATTGAATCTTTCGTAAACAAATATTAGCTAAAGTTTCGTTCTCAAAAATTTCTTGTTTGTTGAGAAAAATTTCACTTACTTTGTCTTCTAATCGCTTCCATTTTCACTTATAAAATTGAAAAACTTATCATTATTTGATTAAAATAAAAATATTCAAAAAGAAAATCATCCTTATATTATTAAATCATAACAAAGAAGAGAAAAGAAAAAAATGAAATAAAAATAGTAAAATTACTATATATAAATAAAGATGCAAACAAAGAAAGAAAGAAAGAAAGAAAAAAAAAGACACATGAAAAATAAAAAATTTTACATTATATTTACAAATTATTTGTTACGCACATTGTTAAAATTTGCTACTGTTGCTGACCAGTTTATAAAAAAGAAAAAGAATATTGAAAAGAAATAAAACCAAATTTCATTATATATAAATGATATTAAAATAAAAAAAACAACACAGTATTCATATATGAATATATACATATATATATCTATATATATATATATATATATATATAGATATGAATATAATTTTTAATTATATAATAAATATAGAATAAACTACAAACACATAAAGTAAAAATTATAAGCGTAAACAAGGCAAAAAAACCAAAAATATTTAATTTAAAAATTTATTAAATCAAAAATTTCACTTAGACACGTCTTTGCATTTAACAAAAAAATGAAAAAAAAAAAACAAAAAAACATGAAAACCTATTGCAGATAACTTTGAACGCGACATGCTTTTCATGATCAAATTTTGAAGTGGTTTGTTCCGCCTAGAAATACTCATCAAAATGCCTCTTAGGACGTGTATGCGCTTTTTTCTCATTCTAATTGTTTGTTCAATCAATTCGTTTGTCTGTCCATTTGTCTATTTGTTATTGCTGTTCGCAAAAGAACCAAAAGAATTGAAATAAAAATTTGATACTCGGCCGGTATCAACGAAATGAAGGTTAGTCGAGTAGCTCATATAAGATTGACCATAAAATACCTTAACCCACTTTGCTTTATCGTGATATATCATAAATTATAGCTTATATTGCCTTTACTTCCCAAGAGAAATCGTACGTGGGAAGACGGCGAAAAGGACTAGACTTATATGATCCAAACTTAGCACAATAATACTTATATATCAAACCACTAGTGTGGACCAATTTTCCTGAATAGCATATTGAAGATTAAATCATGCTGTTATATAGAAGGCTTTGTTTTTATAAAAACGTTTCTTATACGGGAGAGCGTGCAACAAAAATTCGATCCAAATTTTTTGTTTATGTTTTGTTCAGTATGACAAAGTACGATCGATCCTCTAACGATTACTGTCTTGTTCAAAATAGGGCGTTCTTAACCGCTCTACCACATCAATCTATTTTAATTACATTTATCGATGCATTAAATTTCATTACAATACCTCCAAAAACTGCTACTTGATCACAGTAGTACATGTGAACTTTATGCTTCCTTCGTTGTATATTCAGATACAGTTTCTTCTTTCTATCAATTTAAAGCAAAACACACAAGGTACTGACTCTAAGTCACTCTTAATGAAGACGATTAAATTATGCATCTCACCCAATACGCTTATAGGATGACGAATACATATCTGCTACTGTTCATTACTATTGTTTTTGTAAAACAACAAAGTTTTGACTTTCAAATGACTTGCACGTGCAGGTTTGCTGTACGAACAGCTGTAAATTGTAAATTAATGATTGGAATGACATGAAATCCCTTTAGTTTGAAATGTCTAAAAATCATATGGGCTCGTCAATATTCATCGTAAGAACTTATTGAATGATATGTTCTATTACTGAGATACATTTATTTCAAAAAGTATTTATTTTTATACCCATCACCCAACGATGACGGATATATTCGTTTTATTAAAAAAGCTTGCAATGTCCAGAAGGAAGCTTCAGCGACCGCATAAAGTATATATATTCTTAGTCAGCATCAAATTCTGAGTTGATTTACGCATGTCAGTGCGTTCGTCTGTCCGAGTGTGTGATGTCTGTTGTAAACATTCTCTTGCCCGCAAAATTGAAACTATGAAAATGGGCCAAATTGAGTACTCTTCTGTTTTCCAAAAGGAATAAAAAATTGTTGTTTTGCTCATCACTCGTAAACTATAGCAGATAAATGTACAAAAACTGCGGTAGTACACACAAGTGTACAAAAATGAAAAAAAAAAAAGATCACGTTTATCCAATATAAGAGTGTATTAAAATTTAATTTTTTCTTCACTAGCTTTATAAGCGCGCAGAAACAAGCTTCAAAGACGATCACACCTACACATGCCCGTCTATTCGTCTGTCCATCTCTCCGTCCCCGTTATACTGACAGTATCTGCGGTAAAAAAAAAACTTCCCATTAGCGAAAATCAATTTTTATTTTGAAAATACAAAAAATCGGTGGGCCCCACTTCACTTTGTGTCTTTTTTTACGATAACAGTGATGGGTATAAAAGATTCGATCGCGACCGAATATAATTTTCTCACTTGTTTGTTATATACTATTAGCAATGATTTTACAAATTTTTGAATAATTTTTTGCACATTACATAAACGCCTTTTATATTATATCATATATAATGTAATACATTCAACTCTTTGTTTACACGGTAGATACATTGCTTAGAAAATTGGGTAAAAACAATCGTGTAAAAAATTTATATGGCATGTGATAAATATGGGGATATGTTCCACAATTTTAAAAAAGCGTAAAAGAAAAAAAGAACTCTAAATATTTTCCCAAGAAATCGTGTAAAAAAAGTAATAATGAAATTCATATTACCGAACCAAATTTTCTGTATCATAGCGCGAGGTTTGTTGGGAAAATTTGAAAATTACATTTCTTCTTTTTTTTTGTGGGGA